AGCTGTTGGTTTCTGTCTAATAAGTATATAAATTGATACCTTATTAAACTCTTGGATTTTCTAGTTATGTAATCTTATCATCTGCAAATGGCATGAGTTTTACCTTCTCTTTTCCAATCTGTACATCTCTAACTGCCTTGTCTTATCTGACTGATTGACTAGCACATACAACACAATGTTAATAATAAACAATCATCCAAAGCAGGCCAAGTCATAACTTGATACAACATAGGCAGCCCTGGAAAAATTAAGCAGTAAAGAAATCTGAAGGTTTGACTCTTACCTTCTTGCAAAGTAATAACCTACCAGGCCACAGTTCATAAAAGGATGGAGATTTTTTTAAGAACACACAAAAGGTAAGATTAAAGCCAAGATGATGACCCTTAAGAACAAAAGAACTGAGTGACAGTACACACCTGCCACTAGGCAAAGCAAGCATTAAGCACCCCCACATCCCTTCTTGACCGGGACTTAAATGGAAATCTCTATTTCTTCATTAAGCATGATGTTGGCAGATACGTTCTATCACATTAAGAAAGTAGCTATCTCTGACTGTTATCAAGAATGGTTGTTAAATATGGTCAAATAACTTCACAGCATCTAGGGAAACAGTTATATCATTTTTCTCCCCAGACCAACTAAATGATGAATTATATTAATAAGGGCTTCCCAGGTGGCACCGTGGTAAAGAATCCACCTGCCAGTGAAGGAAAGGCAAGAAATATGGGTTCAATCCCTGGCTGGGGAATATCCCCTGGAGTAGGAAATGGCAACCCCCTCCAGAATTCTTGCCGGGAAAATTCCACGGACAGAGGAGCCTTACAGGCTACAGTCCATGGGGTCACAAAGAGGCCGATATGACTGAGCCACACAAACTATGTTATTAAATTTCCTAATATTGACAAATCCTTGCATTCTAAGACTAAATCCCATTGCTAGATTCTGCTTACTAATATTTATTTAGCAGTTTTGTATCTATATTCATAAGTGAGAATGGTTTGTTTTCTTTTTAGTGCAATATTTATCAGGTTTGGTTTCAATATTATACTTGTTTCATAAAAAGACTTTGACAATCCTTTCAGTTTAAATACACTATTGGAATTATATGTTCTTTAACTATTTAGACGTCACCTCTAAAACTGGACGTAATACTTTGAGAGGAGGCAATCTTTGACAACTTTATTTCTTCTAGAAAAATCAATCTGTTAAGGTTTTCTCTTTCTGGGGTCAGTTTAGCTCAGTTATATTTTCCTAAAATTATCTATTTCATCCAAGTTTCCAAATTTATTTTCAAAGAATTGAGTAAATAGCCTCTTATCTCTTATGATTCTTCAACTTTTCTATTATTCCCTCTTCCAGTTCTTATTTCATATATTTGTACTTTATTCCTTTTCTCCTTTATCAGATAGCTAATAGTCACAGTACAATAGTTTTTTCAAAGAGCCACCTTTTGGATTACTCACATTGTTCTGTTTTTGTGCTAATATTTACAGTTCTTAGAAGAGCAAACCTTTAGCAGGTGTTCTACACCTCTTCCTCTCCCCAGAGAGACATCACAGTAATAAATACAGCAAACACTACCTAAGGATAGACAGGCAAGAAAGCAAAGATTAAACAGGAGCTGCCAACATTCTCTTGGATGATATATCCAAATCCCAAACACCTGATCAAAAAATAGATTAGCCATATTTCCAATACGGCTGGAAAAAAATGAGCCATATAAATAAAAGCTGGGCTTTCACAACAATTGATTCACTAAAAATATTATCAGTTCCTCTTTTTCTGTTGATTGCTTTTTTATATTTTTTAAAAATTTGTATTGAAATATAGTTTGATTACAATGTTGTGTAAGTTTCAGATGTATAGCAAAGTGATTCAGATATATATATTCAAATATAGATATAGATATAGTCTTTCTTCAATTCTTTTCCATTATAGGCGGCTATTATAAGCTATTTAGAAGTTTCCTGTGCTATACCTTAGGTTCTTCTTGGTTACCTATCTTATAGTAGTGTGTATATTTTAATCCTAAACTCCTAAATTATCCCTCCCCTGAAGATCAGTTCTTACTATAATAAACTTAGATTTTAATAACACAGGTGGCACTCTGAGGTTTTAATTATAAGCTTTCTGCCTCCTGCCTCTCTCTAGCAATTGACTGACCACCAATTCAGTCCAGCAAGCATGAATTCCCCTTTTCCCCCCGTCTGAAAGTTCTCTGAATATTGCTCTCTAGCCAGGCACTGAAACAAAGAGCCCACCACTACATAAAAAGACCAGCAAGTTCCTATGTGCCCTGCCAGTCAATGGTGCCCAGAGCCTGCCACTGATCTCAACATAGTGTGCTTCAGATAAGCCAGTCTAGGCCAGGTTTAGTTCTAACCAGCCACCCAAAGTAGGCCTATTCATATTTTGATCCACTTTAGGTAGCCTGGGAGAAATTAAAGAAGTCTGAAGGGTTGAATCTCACCTTCTTGCAAAGCAGAAATCTACTACTAGGCTGTAGTTTATGAAACGGTGTACATTTCTGTAAGAATACCCAACAAAGGTAGGGTTAAAGCTAAAATGATAACCCTTCACCCCCAAATGTATTTGGTAACAGTGCACACCTGGTACCAGGCTGAGCCAAAAACACTCAGCCAAACACACTACACGGACAGGCTTTGTCGTCTAAAGTCACAAGGTGACGCTTCTGCCACAGAGCTTTTCAGAGAGTAGGGGCGCAAGTAACAGATGTAGACAGAGGTAATACAGAGTGGTGAAGAGCTGTTAAACAGACTGGAGATGAATTTAACTTCCAAAGCAGTAATATTCAGTCTGTAAGCTTCAATCTTAAGCCACTGAAAACACACCTGAGAAGTAACACTGCCCATTTCTGGGGCCAATCAGAACCTTTGACAACCTGTCAAGGCAGCAGTCCCGGGGTAGAGACAGGAAAGCCACTATCTAAAATGTAAGTGGGGGCGGGGGGGGGGGGGCGGTTACAACAGCTGAACACAAAGGACGCGTATTGTAGGCTTAGCCCTACACCAAAAAAAAAAAAAAAAAAAAATTAGTTGATTGGTCCAGCAATAGCAATGTATGCATGGCTATATAAAAAGGCAAAAGAGCCAAGTCTTGAGGTTTTGCAGTCAGAATTAGTAGATGGATAGAGGGGGTAAAAAAAAAACACCTGTTGGCTTGTTTCTGTCATGCTAGTTAATCTTTTACTGAAAGTGTTATCTACATACTAAATAACTGATTGGGAAGACTTTGGTTAAGATAAAGGAGAACTAAATTCAGGACAATTTTAATCTTCAACCAGTTTGGGGATCTGATCAGGCTTGTTTGTTTTTTTGATGTCTGGGAGGACATACCAAAGACACCAGTGTATAAAAATGAAGCTTCATACAAGTTGGGGAAGTTCAGCATTGAGAAGCATTGCCTTTAAATATCCATTTATGAATCCTAGTTTGTTAAAGGAGAATTCACGTTCAAGATAAAGTTTAGATAATAGGATTATATAGTTTAGAGATAATCTGGATTTTTTTTTTTTTGAAACTCATTCTCTGAATTTGAGTCTAAAATAAGCTTTTTAAGGTTGTTAATGAATTGGAAGTGAAGTGATGGGGGACATAGGATATAAAGCTGCTGATGTAGGTTAATGAGAACAGGTCACACAGCGTCAGTTTCCAAACTACTTCAAACGCAAAGACCTCCACCTTGTCCATTCTCATACTGAGTAGGGTGTGTGATGCACAGACTCAGAACGACTATGTATACTCAACAAATCTTATGGAAAAGAAAAATGGAAGAATCCCTAAGAAATTATAAAAGTATAATTTATGTTGGCATCGAACCATCCGTGAAAGATTTATCACCACTTAACCCTCCAACAGCTCGAAGGCAGCGGTTCACAACTACTGAATGCATTAGTGTCACGGGAAGGGCTTGTTTAAAAGACAGCACTTTGAGAAGCAATGCACCAAAGTAACCCTTCTCAAAGCATGATCCTCACGTTGGTGGCAGGAGGAAAAGGGGACAACAGAGGACGACATGGCTGGATGGCATCACCAACTCAAGGAACTACGAGTTTGAGCAAGCTCCGGGATGTGGTGAAGGACAAGGAAGCCCGGCGTGCTGCAGTTCATGCGGTCGCAGTCACATACGACAGAGTGACTAAACAACCGGTTGGTGGACTTGCGCTGTCTGCGGCCTTCTACAGTGCTGAGACAGAAATTCAGAGAGTGAAGCTTTCAAAACTTTTAGAGCAGTTTCCCGTACTTCGTATTTCTCCCTTCATTTTATTCACTTTATTTCGTTTTCCTAGCATCTCACTGTTATTACATTTTATGTGTTCTATTAGAGTCTCCAAAAGTATTGGTATGCGATTGGGAAATTATTTTTAAGCTTGGCAAGCACAGCGCTTCTGCGTGACTGATACACAAGTGCAGAATCGGGAGCACGGGGCCAGGGGAAGCTCCTGCCAAGTCGGGGAAATTGGGCGGTTCTGGAGGATAAGGGCAGCGTGAGGCTAACTCCTGCAACCAGAACACTGGCGTGAGAAACCATTTCAAAACCTCAGTATATACACATCGTTCTGTATCATTCCATGGCTCCGTGACAACACAAACCCGCACCACCTCTGCAAGTGGCCCGAATCCCAGCCGCCAAAGCAGAGAAGAAAGGAAAGTGGATGCAGACCCGTGAGAAGGGCGGAAAGCAGGTCGGCGATTTTCCCGCCCGAAGCTTGAAGCCGCCGAGGGGTATTTACAGTCTAGGTGGGCCGTATCAACGTACTAGATCCCTTCACTGTGTCTCCCGTTGTTCTAGTGGATGAAAACCTAAACAAAGAAAGAGGATCGATCCCTCAACCCATCCACTCCCAGCGCCCTCCGCGCCTGCGCAGACCCCCAGCAGCCGACCCTTCCGAGGCCGGCCCCCGGCTCCCTTCCGGCGGCCCGAGGACGCGCGTGCGCAGAGGCGAGGACCGCGCCCTCGGTGCGTGGCCGCGTCCTTACCCGCTACGACAATGGGCTCCTTCCGGCCCGGCAAGGCCTCCTGGGGGCTGACGATCTTGGAGGCGGAGTCACCCATTCTCGGGATCGGAAAGAGGCTGTGAAAGAGCTGGCGAGCCCTCCTGGTGGCCGAGAGCATGGACGGGCCACTGGCCAAAGGGCCGCCGGGCGGTCGGGAGCGGAGGCGCCGCTGCGGAGTGGGCGACTGGCGCGGCGCGGTGCGGCGCGGCGGGAGCTGCGTGCCCTGGACGCGGGGCTGGCGGGCGGGTTAGCGACGACACGTGCGCCGCGGGTTGTGCCGCTGCCGCCGCCCCGGAACCGAGGTTATTACTCAGCCTCAGGCCGGGAGGGCCAGGACAGAGGGCGTGTTCTCGCCCTGAGCCTGGCTTGTGCAGGGAGGAACCTGCGAGTTCTTGCTCCCCTTCTGTACAAAGTTCCCGGGCGGAGAACGAGTGTCCTAATGGCAGTGCGAAGTACGTGAAGTGGAAGAGGCCAAAATAATAATAATAATAATAATCCGCTACTTGGGCCTTACAGTCACTACGGTTTTCACAGCCTTCTTACCAATTGCTGGGTATGCCCAGTAAGCTGTACGACGACGTGACTTTCAAACTAGCATCTATGTCTGTTTCCACTGGAGCCAGTATGATGGTTAATAATCCAAAAGATGGATTATTTATCCAAAGTGAAAACTAACCACAATTTTCAAAAAGTTAAGAATATAGGGAAGATAATACAATGTTTTATATATATATACACATATGCACACACATATGTATATAATATATTGATGATTATCATAATATATTTCCCCCATTTTACAAGGGGGAAGAAAAGAGCGAGATACTAATACTTTGTTAACTCAGTTCAGGTGAACTTAAGGGTGCTATTGGGTCATTCTTGACTTTCAAATCATGGGGCATAACATTTGTTCTGTGACAAATTTTCGAACCAAAAAATAAGGTGGGTGGAGGCAGATGGGTGACTGGGGAGTTCCATATGTGAAATTTTGGTTTTCTGCAAATGTTATGCCAAAATGGGCAGATAGTCTCATGAGGAAGGGAACTTCAGATTAGCACCCACAGAAAGGAGGAGGCTTTGACCCAACCTTCCACGTAGGTTCAGTTGCCTTGTTTCTTCATGTGGTCTGTAACATAAGGACAGGAGGATCAGCGCTCCTGTGTTGTAGGATATGGCCTGACAGGAAATACTAAAATTTAGATTAAAGTGTTTATTTTGTAATACAGATTCTGTTCTGGGCAGTGTGCCTCGGTTCTTACTTGTTATTTATTTGGTTTTGCTATGAGATTACAGGAAGTAGTTTCTGTAGGCCTTTCCTGAAAACCCTCCAAGGTGTCCTTATAGGTGGTAAGATCATTCTTCTGTCAAAGGAAATAGTCTGTTTTCTTTTTCATTCCTGCATTTTGATTTGCTTTTTCTGTTTTTTTGTGACTGATTGTATAAAATTAAGAACTGAAGAATTTTTCACATCAAGGAGAAGTACTTACATTGTGTTAAGCAAGAAAGCACAACAAAGCTACAGTGCGTCTATGTGTAGTATGTAGTGTGCATTATAAATAAATGCACACACCTCTCCTTAGGTACCCACTGAAGAAAGACTAGAAAAAATTAAAACGACGTTTGCAGTTGTGGTGTTGATCCTGGTAATGACTGACTAGCTTTCTCTTGCTTTAAACTTCTTGTTTGAAATGGTTACATTTTTACAGTGTTCTCAGATGTTCCAATAGCTGTGTTACTTTTATTATTATTTAAAAAAAAACCTTTTAAAAGAGAAAGAAATACCAAGTGGCCGGTTAGCTCAGTTGGTTAGAGCGTGGTGCTAATAAAAGAGAAAAATACCTTATTTCATAAAACAGGAGTTTCTTACCTCATTTACCAGAATAGATGAGAGAAAAGTTGAATTGAGATTGGTTTGTTGAGAGAATGACTGTTGTTGCCTTCATTGATGCCATTTTCATCATTAGAGTTTCCTTTTCTTCAAATTGCTCTTAATCCCTTCTGAGCTTCTCCACACTGAGAGTCTTTTTTGGTCCATATTCCCCATTGGGCACACACTGCTTTGATGTGTTATTTTTGTGACTATGCTCTGATTTTCCAACGAATTTTAACAATGTATGTTCTTTAGGATTCAGTCTAACCATCTTCTTTGGTACAATAAAGAGCCAAAATACAGCAGTGTAGACAAAATAAGAAGTTTATTTCTTCTATTATGTAACGATCCAGAAATAGGTAGTTCAGCGCTGAGCCAGACCATGTCTGTTCTTTAAAAAAAAGTTTGAAAGCCATGTTCTAAGAAGACCATAAATTCTCAGAAGGCCCTTTCAGCAGGGCACGCTCTGCAGTGTGTGTGCGCAGGAGCCATGCCTAAGGGCAGGGCCAAAGCTATGAGGACAGCCTCACAGGTTCCTTGCACCATCAGGTTGAGTGTGGAGAAAGCAGAAGAGCATGGCCGGGTCTCCCAAGGTGCATGGGGATGTGGAGGGACTGAGAGAACCCATAACCCAGATAAAGCTTGGAGTTAGAATAAGGAGCCCCCCGTGCTGAGACCATGTGACCAGATGGAACTGCAAAGCCCTCCCTCATCTGGAGCAGGAGCCTGCCTGATGCCCAAAGGACATCCAGAAACAACTGTGTCTCAGCCTGGCAGGAACACAATGAGCAGGAGTCCATACCACATCAATGCACACGCTTAGGACGGGCCAAAGCCAAGAGACACGGCAGTGGGACACTACGAGACCAGGAGCACACCAAGCTCTCCAAGAACCCAGATACTGTCTTGAAAAGAGTAAGGAAAGCCTTGGAGAGAACCTCAAAAGACTGAACATGGGAGTCCATGCCCCAGGGCTGAAAAAAGAGCTGTCACAGGTGTGGAAGATGAACTCAAGGACAAATGGTGCAGTGAAAGAAAGTGAAAGTCACAAAGTTGTGTCTGACTCTTTGGGATCCCTTGAGCTATACAGTCCATGGAATTCTCCAGGCCAGAATACTAGCCTTTCCCTTCTCCAGGGGATCTTCCAAACTGAGGGATCAAATCCAGGTCTCCCACACCCAGGTCTCCCCCATCACAGGTGGATTCTTTACCAGCTGAGCCACAAGGGAAGCCTAAGATTACTGGAGTGGGTAGCCTATCCCTTCTCCAGTGGATCTTCCCAACCCAGGAATCAAAACCGGGGTCTCCTGCAGTGCAGGCAGATTCTTTACCAACTGAGCTAAATGGTGCAAAGGGTGAGCTTTGTCCCCTCCAAGAGGCATTTCAGCTCTGCCCCTGTTCTTTATTAAACCATGAATAACTGCCGGGGGCGCTCTGGTGGACTCAAACTGATATAAAGCTTTTTTTGGTCTTTTTAGAGAAATCCACTTCAGCAGGCAAGAGGCACCCTTATAAGTGAATAAACAGAAAGATTACTATGATATTTGATGTTTGCATACTTAAAACCTCGTGCCTTATTTATGGTCTGTCTGTAGAAGATTCAGAGCTGTCTTAAGCATGTTAATTCATTGCTTAGATTATTTTACTGTGTTTTAAGAGAAAATCACAATACAGTTTTTTGAAGTTTCTCTTGCCAGGGTTTCAGTTTCCTGAAGTCCGTCTCAGTCTGAAAATATTTAATGGAAAATTCCAGAAATAAATAATGTATAAGTTTTAATTATCATGCCATACTGAGCAGTGTGATGAACTCTTGCTGTCCCTCTCCATCTCCCCCCACCCCCGACACACATGAATCATCACTTTGTTCCGCATATCCCATCCGTTACTTGGTAACTTACTCCGCTATTAGATCAACTTTCAGGTGTCTCATTGCTTGAGTTCAAGTAAACCTTATTTTACTTATTAATGGCCCCAAAGGGCAAGACTGGTGAAACTGGCAATTGGGATGTGCCAAAGAGCGGCCATAAAGTACCTCCTTTAATCGAGACTTTCCTGGTGGTCCAGTGGTTGAGACTTGGCCTTCCGGTGCAGGGTGTACAGATTTGGTCCCTGGTCAGGGAGTTGAGATCCACCCGCCTCGGAACCAAAAAGCCAAAACAAAAACAGTAATGTAATAAATTCAATAATGACTTAAAAAATGGTCCACATAAAAAAAAAATATTTGAAAAGATAAAGAAAAAAATCATATGCTGAGGTTGTGAAGATCTTCAGTAAGAACAAATCTATCTGTGAAACTGTGAAGAAGGAAAGAGAAATTCGTGCTAGTTTTGCTGTCACACCTCAGGCCAAAAAAGTTAACAGCCACAGTGAGTGATAAGTGGGTAGTTTAAGATGGAAAAGACATTAAATCTGTATAATATTTTGAGAACAAAAGCTCCACCATATTCACATAAATTGTATTACAGTACATTGTCTTAATTGTTCTATTTTATTACCATTTATTGTTGTTCATCTCTTTCTACACCTAATCTATAAATTAAACTTGATCATAGAATGTATGTACAGAAAAAAACACAGCATAGATAGGGTTCCATGCTTGCCGTGTTTCAGGCATCTACTGGGTAGCTTGGGCCATATCCTCAAAGATACGGAGGAATGACTGTAGTTACTGGTTGTTAAGCACCTATTAGCCACCCTGTCGTGGGCTTCCCAGGTGGCACTGGTGATAAAGAACCTGCCCGCCAATATGGGAGACATAAGAGACATAGGTTTTATACCTGGGTTGGGAACATCTCCGGGAGGAGGGCATGGCAACCCACTCCAGTATTCTTGCCTGGAGAATCCCATTAACAGAGAAGCCTGGCAGGCTACGGCTCATAGGGTCGCAAAGAATCGGACACGACTGAGATGGCTGTGCACACACACACGGGGGAATCTTAAACTTTTGAATGGAGGGGCAGGGCTCCACAGACAGCAGAGGAACAAGCTGAATGCTTGGAATCCAGGAAACATCAAAGATGTCAGAGAATGAGCCAGGAAACCTTCAGATGTATAACTCACACTTTCCCAACCCATGGTGGCCTTTGGAAAGGACCAGTAAGAGGTGACTTTGAGCTTTTTCCCTGGCAAAGTCCACAGTGATTTGTGTGCTCACCTCCGCTGTCACCAGTGTCCACCCCCCCCATCACAACCGATGCTACTCATGCCGCCACCATCAGAGCATCTGACACTGCCAGCCCTGTGTGGCT